GTAACAAAAACCGAATCTCCTGGTTTCTAGCCATGCAAAAGTTAACACAAGTCTAGCTTCCACCACTTCCATAAAAAAGGCACTCTGAGGTTAGTAGTCTAATGTACTATCTTCCATCATCAGATATATGTTAAAGCAGAGAAAGCGAGGTGAGAATTTTCTACTTAAACTTGTTCAGTGTTAACTGACATAACAGTTAAATGCAGAAGTGGTTTTGAATTTGAATGCATTTAAAGATCCTCTTAGATCAAAGGTCTTTGTGTAGTCGCAGGCAGGGAGATCTAGAAAGGATATCATCTTAAATATTACAAAACCAGCTCAGGCTGACATGAACAGGATTCCAGAGGGGCCTATTTCTCACCATGAAATCTTCCACTTGTGAACCTATACAGCTAGCTTAGAAGAGACGCAAGTTTTGTAATAATCATACTCGCTTATTAAAACTCATGCATATGTAAGACTGGTTATGTGCTGATTTATTCAGATGTGGAAGCTGAGATCAGGTTTGAGTTAGCTCTGTGTAGGGTGTACCTCTGCAATTCTCACAATACAGAGGTGAATGAGAGAATCAAGCTATCATTTTCCACAATTAAAAGTTTATTCTCTGTCAAATGCTAATTTAAAATTCTTCTATTTTCTGCATAGCAACACTGGAAAATGCAATCTAAACAGATAATTAAGCCTAGTAAAGCCTGACATTAAGTCTGATACAGACCAATAGGCTACAGAGCATTATTAGATTTTCTGATATCCTTCAGAACAGTTCTCTCCATCACACTTCCAATACTAGCTTTCTCAAAGATAATAATTAAACACAATATAACTATGCATAAATATAAATAATACAAATATTTTCTAAACAGGTTAGGCTGGCTATTGCTATTCAAGACAGTTTTACTGGGATAAACTTTAAGCTATTTAAATGTGAAAAGTAATCTGACTTGGAAGAAAATTAATTTTGAACTAGATTTGAAAACATTACTGCCTTCCTTGAATTCTACCTCTGAAGACCGCCAAGTGTTCTGTTGTAAATGTCAGGGGACATAATGAACTTAGCAATATAACTCCCTCAGAAAGGGTGACAAACTGCTTTTCTCTGATAGATAGCTCTGATGTCACATGTAGGAGCTATGGATCAAATGAAAATTCCCTGCTGAAATAGTCTGTAGGGGTATGAGACACATTCTAACTAAAATAAATGGCTTAATTTTAGAAATGAAATTGTGTAGGCATGTTCATAGTGTTAGAAAGGGCTATTTATGGCATTCATCACATTTTACACTCTTAAAGTAGATTCCTATAAAATATTGAGAATCACATAGAATCTGGAATCATTCTTCATGTCATTACAGTGTGATCTAAATATAACAGCAGAAGTCAGATATAATATCTGCAAATACAGTAGTTTGTTTTGGTCTCAATGATGCGGAGATAATCTTGAATTTAAAAGTATTCATAATAAACATACACTGGAAATATAAATCTGTCTACTGCATTTGAGAACAAAAATCTTTCACTAGTAAATCAAGATTCAGTCAACCTAGTGACCCTCAAACATGAAAATGAATAATGGGCTAAATATGGGTTATCACACCAGATTTAATTTATTTTATTTTTATTTTTTAATATTAGTTGGTTAAATCCATGACTGCTTAAATGAAGACTGCAGGAAGAGAAGTGACAGAGGTTTTTAATCAGCCTGATAAACCTCATCGAAAGTTTTAAGTTGTTTAATGAACCTTCATTAAAACATTTTATTTGAATCCAATTATATTATTCTATCTTAGAATATATAGAAGTCTAGGCAGCAAAAAGTTTGTTTAGTTTGATCTATTAGTTTAGGTTTCACAGATAGGTTAGTAAGTCAACAACAGCTGAAGAGACCATACCTAATTCTTCAGCTATGTTTAGATTTGCTGTTTTTATCAGACTCTATAATTAGTGACAATACAGAGTCCCAAGAAGTATAGCCAGTAGGAACAGAAAAGCTGTGTCACATAGCTCAATTTCCCACTGCTTGCCCTTCCTATATAATTCCTGCTAATAATTTAGCTAAATTGCAGTTTAAATAACTAAAGCAATTGCATATCGCAGCTTTCCTTACAGCTTGCTACAGATATTTCTTGTTCTTTAGTTGTCTTCTATAAAAGAAGAAAAGATAAACTGAGGCTAACAAAAGAGTTGTACATACTAAATACAGGCCATCTCAATGGGTTTGTCTGACTGGTTCATATGAATAAGGTAAGTCACTTTTGGCTTTAAAGCTCTACTTAAGCTCCTACAAGGTAGGACAGATAAGGATGTCATTTTCTTCCTCATCTATACACGACAATAGCAAAAAAAAAGAAAGAAGAATGCCCCTTCTCACAAACGAGCTTTCTCTCCTTCATTCTGACAGAAGAAAAGACTTTGCTCAACAATGAAACAGCCATGGGAGGGAAAGATGAAAGAAACAGATGAAAAAAAATCTATACCACCACTTGCAATTTTGAAACTTCCAGTGTCTTGCAAGTTGATGTCACAGAAGAAAAAATCCTTCATTTGGTCTCCCACTGTTATGCTAACCTTTCCCTGCTGGTGGTGAAGAAGGAAGCAATATAGAAGGGCCTTTATTCCATACAAATTAGCTTGGCTGCTAAACTACTTGCAATCTGAAAACTAAAGTATTTTTCAAGAATCCTCTACTGGTAATTGCTTTTGACCAGAAAAATTAAATGCAGAAGAATGAAACTGCAATGAACACAAAAGATACACTTTTGACTTCATACCTGGCTGCAGAATAATTTTGTAGAAATATCAAGTTGCTGTATCTGAGATGAGAATCTGACCAGATATTCTTAACATTTTTGTTTTCCAGCTTAAGCTTTTTTTTTTCTTACACTAATATAAAATCTGTATCTAGAAAAAAGTTAACATTTCACAAAAACATTACTTAACACACTTATTTTTTTGTGAAATGTTACATTTAAATACTACTTACCACTTTTCTCATCTTTAGATGATGTACAACAGCTCTGAAATGAGATCTAAGGACCACAGGTATCTCAGATCTCATTTCTAATGGCATATTGAGATAAAGGGAAGGGGTAGAATGCAAAGGAAACAATCTGTATGATTATCACTTAGACAAAGTTACTGGTGTTAATTTTTACAGATTATTTATTATTTCTAAATAATGCATCCCAGTTGAGAATGATGCTTTTCTTGATTTCATTTTACATCTTTTTCCTTCTTATTCCTATATGTTTCAGTTTTTATTTCTTTTCTCTTTGTATTCTATTAATACCTACTGGCCTTCTTTATGCACAATTACTAAAGATCTAAATGTGTTTTCCTATCAGTGAGTTTCAAACCAGGAGTTAAGTTTAAATAAACACATTTCATGAAAATCGGAATGAAATGATTGATTTCTTATTTTCATTTTACTCATTGATTTTGCTTACAGAAAACAATATCAGCATAGTAGCAGTATACGGACTTGAAAGTTTTGATAACATATCTCAGTACAATAAAGAGATCAAAGGCTCTATTGTATCATAAATTCTTCTACGTGGAACCAATTATCACAAGTGGAAAAAAAAAGTGGCAGACTACCAGTTTTGAAGACAAACACATAGGGCAATGTAATTCATACATAAATGAATAACAAGCAGGAAAGAAAAAGTGGTTATTAAAATAGTTAAAAAGCCATAAAGAAGGACGGATAGTGATATATAATTGAAACAAAAGTGTACGCTATAATAGTTTTCTCAAACATTTATATCAGCTTTGCATATCCAGGAGTTTGAATACATTAAAGTTAGGCTTTACTCATTAGAAAAGAAAAAAAAAAAACACTGTTCAAGAATTGTTTGCACTTAAAATGCATTATTTTATCATTACTCACAATGAATAAGAATGATATGAATAAAATAATTACTTAGGAGAAAATACTCAGCCTCTCCTTTTCCTAAAATACTAGCTGATATAATATATATTGTAATATCCATATATACGTATATATAAATATAAAAGTTATAAACGTATAAAATTGGAGTCAAGGCATAGCTTTTTTCTGTATATGGTATATACATCTTAACAGTTACTGCAGAATTTAAGAAGTTTTCCCTACATGTGGTTTTTATACTGGCAATTGTACAATATTTTTTTTAACAACAAAATTGTATGTGCCTGTATATACATACATGAAGGTGTTAACCTCCCTATTCACTGGTATAGTCATTTAGCTCATTTTTGTTTCTTCCCTGCATACACCTTAATTTCCTTGTAGAGCTGTATTTGCAGCAAAATCTGAAGGATCTAAGAACACTTCTAATTTTTCATCTCCTCTCTGTCCCCAAACAAGCACAAAGTGATTAAACAATGATTTTCCAAAAAAATCCATTTCTGAGGTCTGATATATTTTCTTTATAATCTCTATTATATAATTATACATCTCTATTATATATCTCTATTACATTATCAAGATTGTTTGCTTTTTTTTTTTTCTTTCAGCAAACCCCAAAAAATTCCCTTAATTTAATACTGAATACCCAATCTTGTTCACACTCATCTACCAGTTACTAACTGAAACAATCATCTAATCAAATTTCATCCTTTCAAATATAGAACAAAGCAGAAAATTGTGAGGCTTTTTCATCCTACTTGTTCTCCTAAATTAGATGGTATTTGATCTTGTTCCTTCACTTATGATCATTTCTGCTTACCAAGTCTTTCTGATACACACTGCTCATGTCTCTTGCTTTCAGTTTTGCTGTTCCGCTGTTTTTACTGTTTTTTTTTTTTTTTTTTTTTTTTTTGTTTTTTTTTTTTAAAAAAAAAGATTTATTATATGTTTGTTTATTAAATAGCTTTGTTTTTGAGGTCCAGTTTGTTTTGCAGTAACCCTGCCCTCTGGGAATCGATTGCTTAATATAAGAATAAAGAGAGTTCCTCTATTTTGTGATCCAACATTCCTTAGAGTTGGAGTTTTCATGAACAATTGACTTACGAGCACATACATTCATTTTACATGATTCCTCAATGTGGTCAGGGTGCTGCATAGTCTGTACTGCATCCACCTACAAGAAATACAAAAATATGTCTGCTTACCAGGATATGAGCAGGGCTTGGCTAATGTATTCCTGTACTATAGATTTTGTGAGTAAAAATATTCCTCTTTTTAATGTCCTATACATATTTATATACATTCCATAAAATAATGTTAGGCAGTAAAGCCACTTAGAATAGAAAAACACATTGATTAACATAACACTGAAGAAAGTAACTGAACTACATCCAAGAAAGAATGGTTTTAGATCATGGAGTAAAGAAACTGAGCAAAGGTTTACTTCCCTCCTTTTCTTACTTACTAGCTTGTTACTAACTACTGTGGACAGATAAAAGCAATGTAAATGTTTCAGATATCATTGATGAACATAACTTCTTCTCCATTAAGTGATGGAACAAACAGTGCAGCATGTCTCTAAAAATATTAGGTAACTGAAAGAAACAACAAACATTAATTTTGCAAAAAAAAAAAAAAATAAAGATAGGCAATGTATCTTTTTTGTACATCACCCTGTCCTTCCAACCCACCTCTTAGAAAAAAAAAAAAAAAGTGGGAGAAATCATGATTTAGAGGATAGCACGCAATATAAAATGACAATTCTGAAAATGTAAATAAGCCAAAATGCCAGATACCAACTCTTTTTTTCTGTCCACTTTATAGAATAATAAACTGGAGAATAAGGGGCAGGGCTTTCTTTGTGCTACTGCCATCAGTAAGTTTATCAAGGAAATGAGACAAAATGCACATCTAATGATAAACAGTAAGTGTTCTGTCCAATATATTCTTCTGAGACGTCTCTTAAAATAATACTCAGAAACAAATCGTCTTCACAAGAAAACACTAACCTTATGTTTGGTAGTTACATAACATATTTCTTTAGCATTCACCAGATACTACTTTTCTATTATTTTTATATTATTAAATTTATATTTCTTTCACATCACTTACTGCAAATTCCCTATTTTCAAACATTTTAATGAATCACTTATTCTAATCTATTAAACACACAAAGTTAAAACCAATTTACACAAGCATAGAAAAGCAATGTCAAGGATCTCTACAAAGCAGCTTTTACTCTATGAACATAATCCACAAAAGACTCCCAAATGTCCTCAAATAAGTAACGTCTGTTCAACAATCTAAATATGATCTTCTTATAGGAAGCCATCTGGGACAAGTAAGCAGAGCATTCTGCTTTTGTTGCAGAAGAAATATATTTATGCCTCAGTAAAAATTCTTCATCGTCATCAATCCAATTACACACAAATCTTTTTATCTCTTTAAGATATGTTTAAGATATGTTTGCTTGCCAAAACAGCAAAAATGATAGAAAAGACAAAAGTATATCTATCTGTTTGTCTCTGCCTGTCGGTCTACTTATCTATCTATACCAACCCTGCACTTCAGGAGAACCAATTTGTCCTCTTCAAGGACCTACTTGGAGGTATTTCGTAAGTTAGAGCATTGGAAGGGGGCCCAAGAGAGTTGGTTGACATTCAAGCACCATTTCTTCCAAGCTCAAGAGTGGTGCACCCCCAAGAGTAAAAAAATCAAGTAAAGGTGGCAGGAGGTCCACAGGGATAAGCAAGGAATTGCTGGAAATTTCCAATGGAGTAAGAAAGTCTACAGAATCTTGAAAAGGGGTCTGGTGACTGGGAAAAACATAGGAACACTGTCAGGCCATGCAAGGATCCAAGAAGGAAGGCTAAGGCCCATTTGGAATTAAATCTGGCAACGTAGGTTAAGGACAAGAAAGACTTCTTTAAGTAAGCAAAAGGAAGACTAGGGTCTGCTGTTGAAAGAGGCAAGAGCCTAGTAACAGAAGGCACTGAGAAGGTAGAGTTACAGAATGTCTTCTTTGCTTCTGACTTTACTGCTAAGACTGCCTCACAGGAATCCTAGATCTTTAAGATAACAGACATAGTCTGGGGAATGGAAAACTTCACTCTGGCTGAGGATGATCTTATCAGGGATCATCGAGGAAAAGTCAACACACAAGTCCATGGGCCCCAATGGGATGCACCCAAAAGTGTCTAGGGAGCTGACAGAAGTGATTGGCAAGCTACGCTGTATCGCCTTTGAGAGGTAATAGAGAATAGAAGAGCTGCCTGAGGACTGAAGGAAAAACAATGTCCTTCCAGTCTTCAAAAAGAGCAAGGAGGAGGAGACAAGAAACCATTGGCCAACCAGCTTCACCTGCAACCCTAGGAAAGAGATAAAACATCATCTAGAGCATTGTATCCAGTTCTGGACTCCTCAGTTCAAGAAAGACGGAGTTATTGGTAAAACTTCAGCTACAAAGATAGATAAGAGGATCGTTCAGCCTGGAAAAGAGAACACTAAGGGAGGGGATCTTATCAATGCTTATAAACACCTAAAGGGCAGGAATCAAGTGGATGGGCCACATTCTTTTCAGGAAAACAGAACAAGAGGCAGTAAACACAAATTGGAACACAAGAAGTTCCATAAGAACATGAGGAAAGCCTTGAGTTTGAGAGTGACATAGCACTGGAACAAGCTGCCCAGAGAGGCTGTGGAAATATTCAAAGCATGCCTGGACGCTTTCCTGTGTAGTCTACTCTAATGAGCTTGCTTTAGCAGGGGGCTGGATTAAATGATCTCTAGAAGTTCCTTCCAATGCCTAAGATGCTGCAATTCTTCACTTCTGTGATGTTGAGTACCTCAACAATTATTCAAATTCATATGAAAAATTCTTAATTCTGCATCTGGTTTCTATTTTTCACAGGCATAACCTCATGTATTTCCTTGATGGCTTAAAACATTCTTGTTGCTACAGTATTTGAAATTTACTCTAATATCCTATCCAAATTTATTCATAAGTATTTACGTCTATCTTCTTTTTCCATGACTTGCATATGTTTCCATTCAAAAGTGAACTTTTAGCATAGTTTTTTTTTTTTTTTTTTTTTTTTCCAACCAATGAAATAAGTAGTAAGAAACACTTTAAAAGAGTATGGAGTACAATGTATGATTTCCAGCCACCACATAGTGATGGAATCACAGAATTATTAATTTCTGCAAGCAACGTTAATTTTTTGTCACTCATTCATTCAGCATTGAATGAGTCTACAAATATTTCATAGAACAATCAATGATTGTGTGTATGTATTACTAAAAACATAAGAAATTACGAGTTTCTGCAACATTCAATGTGCCTTAAACAAAAAATGCAATATGCTCAGTTTTGTCCACTGTGGCAAATAGCAGATAAAAATACATCTTGATGGATTTCCTGTTATATTTCACAGTATGTTTCTAATCTATTTTTAAACTTCTTTACACACACAGCTTCATTTTCAGTTTGTGACAGAAAGTAAAATAGAATATGGGCAACTATCAGAAACATATTTAGTACATTTCCTTAGAATATACATGTTGACAGAGAAGACAAATCTAGGCTGGAACTTACACAAAGGCTGGAACGCTTATACAAAAGAGAACTACTAAATAAAAAATAACATTTAACCTATTTATTTGCTTTAGTTTATTTGTACAACATTTGCTGAATCATTAAAGGCCACATACAGGTTAAAAAAAGATACTCAACGAAAGATACAAACAAACTGATAAAAAGACTTTCTGGATAAGAAATGAGATTGATGACTAAAACCTATTTATCTCTTTGTGATCCTAGGTAGCAGTGTCTGTAATAGATACAATCTAATAAGGTATAAGAAAATCCATTAATACTCCTGATGATGAAAGGTAAAAGAAAAAGTTAAGAGAGAACAAATTTAAAACCTAAGACACTTGGCTAGTACTTAACAGTACAGTATTATTATTAAAAACTTCAGCACAACTGACTATGTTATTAACTACTTCCTGTCATAGCTGGCTTTAGTTTCACAACATTACTGCAGCTACTCCTGACTTCTTCCATGTAATAGTAATTAAAAATACTGCGTGTTTAACAGTATTTGCTACAACACCATGTTATTCCTGGGATTACAATCTGCTAGCATTTTTTTGAAGGTATCAAAAAAGCCTCAATAACATAAATTGCAATACCATTTGTACATGCCCAGAAACGTTGGAGTTGCTCTGTCTCTGGGGGCGCTCAAGACCAGGTTTAGATGGGACCCTGGGCAACCTGTCTTACTTTCAGACCTGGAGGTTGGTGGCCCTGCCTGTGGAAAGGCCTTTGGAACTTGATGATTCTTGGGGTTCCTGCCACAATATTACTTCCATAAAACATTGATTGAAACTCTGACATCTTAACCCACTGAACAAATGCATTAATATAATCTTATAAAAATATTGTATAATAATAAATAATAAAAATGTTACATATTTGAGTTACTTTTTAGAAACAATATAGCAGCACTCTGGATTTTTTTGAGAGCTCAATAATTCTGTCATGCCAAGAAACAAAATTGGTTTACAGAAAAATAGAACACCTGAACTGATATCTTTTGATGCCTCTGATACTTCAAATTGCACACTGAGAAGTTTGGGCTGCTCTTTAAACAAGTTATGTTCTTTAACTTGATCTTGGTGTAGATAATGCTTCTAATAGCTTAAAGCAGTAAAAAACAGATGAGTAGCCTGGAACACGATTTTTTGTTGCATTCTTTTCTCCTACTCTTAGGAGCACAAGAACATACTAGAAGGAAAATATGATATTTTTACTTTACTTCAGATCTCCAAAGGGTTGAATTCTTTTTTTTCCTCCACTGTTTAATCCTGAACATATATGTAACATATTGATTGCTATTATATCAGCACAACCTTTGAATATTTTTTACTAGCATTTATTCCCAACATACTTATAAAGAGCAATAAAATCTCTTTTCACTAGTTATTTTCTAAAGGCTCTGAGGTTTGCGTAGCAGTGGCTTAAAACCAGATGATAGGAATCAGTACTACCTTCAATTGTCTGTTCCACCCCTCTGATGGAATTTAGAGCCTTTAGCACAGGGCTATTTGATATGCTTATGAATGAACTCATGTTCTGTTACAGTCTTCTTCACCTGGGTATATTAAACCAAA